CGTGTGTTTGTTTTGGCTACTGTGTCTGTTCGTTTCTGTCCTGCCTGTCTTTCTGTCCTTCCATCTGAGTGTGTGTGTGTGTGTGTGTGTGTGTGTGTGTATTTGTCTTCAATCAGCGCTTTGCTTGGCAACATGCTGCCGCTGTTGCTGTTGCTGTTACTGTTGCTTCCTTTTGTTCTGCCCTTTGTGCCGCATCTTCGTCTGACTTTGGGCTAAATATATTTAACGCTCAGCAGAACCTTAAATGCGCACAAATACAGACACATTTTGTCAAAAATATAACATTCAACAAAAAACAACAACACACAAATCTCTCTGCTTCTTGGTTGCCAAAAATAATTCTCTCGCTCTATGCCATTCCCCAGATTTCCTTTCGCTTCGATCGATGGAGTCTTCTTTGTGGAGAGATGCAGAGGGTATTACGATTTTGAATAGTTGTTTGTTTTGTTGCATGAATAACGAGTACATATTTACGTACGAGTATGTATGCAGAACCACCTCGATTTCATAGTAAGAAAAGTTTTTGTGAGCTCCAGGAATTTGAACAGCTTAAATTGATTAAAATCAGAAACATTTCACCGAAAAAGCTGATTTTTTAAGCAAATTCTTTACTTTGCCTGAATCAAATAATCATACAAATACTGAGACCGCAAGGGTATTTATAGTCTCTGCCACCGAATATATGTTTTCTATGGTGTCTGTGTTTACGACACACTTTTATCAATTAATTTTGGATGCTTTAGTCCGTGCCCTAAATCCTCCTCCGTGTCCGCGTCCACTTTCTCATCCGCATCCGCATCCGCATTTATCTCCGTGTTCATGCTCATGTCGCGATCAATAAAACCGGCCCGTGCCACATGTCCACGTGTCCCGGCCACGAGCTGCTCGCATTAACAGCTTTCCACCCTAAGGCCCGCACCGTCCACCACCTGCTCTTAGGTGCGCGAGCGAGCCTTTATAAAATTCAAATTGTAATTAACAGCGAATTTGTCCGCTAACTTTTTCAATGAAATTTATTAGGAATTTAATAGCAGGTCAATGGATAAGCCACTACCATTAAAAGCTCGCATTTTCCGCTGATGAAAGTGGGGACTCGTACGGCGCGAAAGTGGAATAATGAAGAATCAATACGGGTATGCCAGCTTCTCGTTTAATGTGAGTTTCATCGCATTTTATAAGCCTGCATTTTAAATGGGAATCCTCTTGAGTTGGAATAAATTAAATGAATTTCATTCACGATACACCAACAGACAGACAGAATGTATGGATTTGGCATTGTTTCGGCAGCTGCGATTTAATTACATTTATTCAGTTTTCATTTAATTCCTGGAGATAATACATGAATTTATACACTTTTGTTTGCTTGTTGTTTTTTGTTGTTTGTTTATTTAGTATTCATTTTATGTATTGAACATATTGTATTAATCAAGTAAACAAGATCTGTCCACCCTTTTATTTGTTCGCAAACTCCGTTAATTGAATGATTTATTTATGCTTACTAGTTTTTATAGAACATACCATACCATACCTAATAAATTCTAGATTCCTGGATTCCTTGATTCCTAGGCTCCACTGGCATAAATTTCTTTTACAGTTTTTTGAGAAAGCCAACCAACCCACTAAATGATTCAATTCAAAATAAAATTCCCTGGACTTTTGCGAGTAGATTACAAACGGAATACCATAAAACCGAATCGCATTCGTTCGCCTCGCTTAACCGTCTTAAATATTTAAGCTTGTTTGTCCTCGATTGCAAAATGCTGACCTAGAAAGTTGCCACCGCCAATCGGTATTTTACCGTGCCCTCGGCCTGCTGCTTTCCTGCTGCCATTCTGGCTGTCTGTTAGCCATCATCGGTCCCTGTCCTGTGTCGCCATTCGTCTCTCAGTCCGTCCGTCTGCTGCCGACTCCTCTACACAGTTGGAACTTTGTTCCGTTTGAGTACAGACACCATTAAGCACACAATGCGGCCAAGTTTCTCGGCTCTCATATTTTATTTGTTTACCATCAACACAATTTATTTAACGTACAAATTTCACGCTACTTTGCCCAGATCCTTGGGTCGCCCTAGTCCCTGTCCTGTGTCTGGGAAAAGGCAGGAAAAAGCCAAAAGGTAAATGTTTTCACTAAATAGTTTTACGTTTACTGGAAAATGTATGTACCCTCGTTTGTCCGCCCCATCCCCCACGCATCCCTTAGACTTCCTTTGACTCTGACTGTAAGACGTCTGAAGTCGATTTGCTGGCTTTCCGACCGTTGGGTGCCTCTTGCCAAAATGTTTACCTCCATTGAATAATTCAGTGCACAAAGAATGTATACCAAGCGAAAACAGCAGGCAGACTCCTACGGAGTCTGGGGGAATGGGGAATGGGGAATGCAGCAAGCATGCGACGTGCCTCGTGGCATGAACAGGGAATTTGACACATGTTTTGCAAGTCAAATTGCATCATGTTTCCATTTGGCCAATTGCTGAAGTACGTCTAGAAGTACAAATTTATGCAATTTCATTTAAGCATTTTCCGCCAGATTTGTAGTTTCTTTACCCAGCTTTTGCCTCTCTGCCGTCGCTATATGCAGTAATTAATAAAGAGATTATGTGCTAAGCGTATTATCATAAATGAATAAAAAGTTTCCGTCACCTCTCTTTTGATCAAACATTCCCACAAGCAGACAGACACCGAGATATCCGTATTGAATGGCCTGGCGTTGGGGGCCCAAACTCATTAAACTTTTTAATTGTGCAGTTGCAAGGCAACAATTCAATAGAATTGTATAACAAGCTTGACCGAAGTTTTCTTTATAAACAAATCTGTCTGTTAAAACAATGCTTTGAGTGCAGCGAGTCATGTAATCATTATTCTGATATCAATTTATTGCAAAAACTATCCGATTGCGGGCAGCCATCTGTGTGTTCGTTTGATTGCAGGATTTCTGCAGTCCATTTGATAAAAGAGCTTTAGCAAAAACAAAACCCACACACATTGTCTCTTATGGAGCTTCTAATTGGTGGATGCTGCCATAAAAAACGAACAAAACGAGCACAGATATTCGATATTACTCGTATTTGGGTGCGGTATTGATTTAAATATTTGTGTAGTAATAAATATACCTTTGATTCGTATTACAATTATTAAATTATTAATGGAAAGATGTCTACTAGTTATCCTTAAGTGCTTTTTAATTAGCTTTATTAAATATTTAAATATTCATTTAATCACACAAAGCAAAAACCTAGCCACAAATTCCCGCACGTTCAATCTGAGCTATCAGGTTATGAAACAACAAAAAAAATCAAATTAAAATAGGCAATTAATTATTACCTTATTATCATGTTTGTTTTTGCATTATTATCAAAAATTTCTATAATTTTCTGAATATACTATGCATGTGAATTCTGATTTTCGGGGGAAGCATGAATTATTCAATTCATTTAGGCAGCAGGGGGCAGCAGAAGGGGAAAATAATTGAATTTTATTGAAAATAAATTATTCATTCAGGGAGGCTCCGGCTTTCAGTGACTTTCGCATTTCTGCGCTTACAGCCGAAACGTTCCGTTTTCAGGTGCTCCCATTTTCTCATGTCCTGTTAAGCGCACAATTTAGTGAAAAATCGTCTGTGATGTTTTTGTTGTTGCATTGTCCAATTATTTCAAAAAAATATGGGAAGTTGGGTCAATAGGTCCTATTTATAGATATTTTTTTGCCTTTAAAATTGCGATTTGTTTCGCATAAAAAGCCGTTTACTTCTCATTTCGACCAGGAAAATGTTTCCGTTTTGAAAACTAAAAAAGTTTGGCAAACACGGAAATTTATCAAAAGTAAATCGAAAAGTTTTTTGCCTGCCTGATTGTCCATATTTAATTCTACTTAGTTTTAGTTTAGCTGGGAGATATGTATTTACGACTATTGGCTGAGGTAAACTAGTTCATTAAACTATCTCTCCTTCTAGTATGTGTTACATGAGAGCAAAGCGAGCTAAAGCCAGTATCTATTTAAAGAATTCTAGAATACTGATTCAAAACTGATTACCAAAACTCTTGATGTATTCGCCCATTTCTTCCTCCGTTAGTTTCTACATCGGATGGCATCGAATGAATGTTTCGATTTGAGATCCCCGGAGAGCGGTGGTTGCAAATTGAAATGTTAACCAACTATTAGTTATTTTTGTATTAAAGCACAGAGCCTGTTGTGAAAATGCATCTGGGGTTTCCCTTCTGAAGGTGATTCGCAGTAAATGTATAATACTGTTGGGCTTTTGGCTATTAGGGGGGGATTCTAGCAAACGAGTTTAACCCTCGCTTTGCTGGCACTTAATGAACGTATGAATGGAACACAAAGGTCGGGTCGAGTCGGCGCCCATAAGCGCATTAAGTGTCAGTGCAATGAGGGTTTCGAGCTTTCAGTCGGGCTCCGGCTCCGGCTCATGACTCCGATGTCGGGCCAACCCGGTAGCCGGTTGGCGGATGAGTACTGTGAAGTGGCCGCAATTACAGTGAAATTTATATATATTTCTGCTCCCCCTGCTCTCATTGCAGCCACGAACTTGAAAGGAAAGCAGCGCTCCAAGGAGACGACCAAGCGACTGTTACGTAGGCCAGCGAAAGGAAGCGGAAACGCGACTCCTGATTGGCGGCTGGGCAGACATCCAAGACAACGGCAACAACGGCGGCCAGAATTTTCTCTCGTTTGGATAGTGTCGAGGAGGTGCAACGCGGTCGCAGTGGCAGCGCTATCGGAATAGCACCGGCTGGCGGTGCAGCGGCAGGAGTGGGACCAGGACCAGGAGCGGGCGTAGGAGGGGGTGTGGGAGTCGGAGTTGGAGTGGGTGGTGGTGGTCCAGGTTCAGGTGCAGTGGCAGCGGCAGCGGTGGCAGCGGGTTCACCAGCCAGGGCTGGCCAGCAGCAGCAGTTTGGAGGCGGAGGTCTGGGCGGAGGTGTGGCTGCTGTCGGTGTGGGTCTGGGAGCGGGACCGGGAACGATTGCGTCACGGCAGCGGAGCGCCAGCACGGTGCTCGACATAAGCCTAGCGGAGCGCAGCAAGGTCTCCTCCATCGGGGGCCCGCCCTCTCCGCACGTGAGTCTTCTCAAGCGAGGGTCTCTCTACCCCGGCGGTGGTGGTGGTGTCGTGAATGGACTCGGCCTTGGCGATGCGGCGGTGATTCAAACGAAATGCGACACATTTAATGGAGTGGCATTGGGCGTCGGCGTTGGAGTCGGTATCGGTAGCGGTGTGGGCGGTGTGGGTGTGGGCGCTGCCTCAGGTGTGGGATTAGGAACAGGAGCTGGAGCTGGACAACGCGGACGTCTATCATCTCTTTCATCATCATCATCCCCCGCGAGTGTACCAGGTGCAACACTCGGGGATCCATCAGTTGCTGGAGGAGGGGCCGGATCTGCCCCAACCATCGGCAGCGCGCCCGTACAGCCGGGCCCGAAGCGACAGGGCAGCTTCTCGAATGTATTCTCGAAGCTAATCGATGGTATGCCCGCTGGCACAATGTTTGCCAAATTCAAAAGCACCAACGTGGCCGCAGCCACCACGTCGCAGAGTGTCGCCGATGGCAATCCCATTACGCAGTACTTTGAGATTGGCAAGCCGGTGGCTTGTGCCGGGCCAGAGTTGGCCTGGCGCATACACGATGCGTACCGCAAAAGCGACAACAAGGTGAGTTTCCCAATACCCAAAAGCACGAAAACTCCTTGCCACAAATGGAAATGCTCCCCGTGTTTCTTTCTGGCAGGAATGCTCGGTGTTTATTTTCGAGAAAAAGGTTGCGGAGAAGCTGCACAAGCCGCGTCGCAAGGAGACCATAACCGAGCTGCTCAAGAGCTCGGTGAAGACACTAGAACGCTTTCGCCATCCCAGAGTGAGTGCCGGCCCTGTCTCCCCCATCGATAATTACTTTTTCGAAGGTCTCCTTTCTGGTACTCTCTTTCTGCAGATACTCCAGATCTATCACACCGTAGAGGAGAGTGCGGACACCCTGGCCTTCGCCTCGGAGCCCATCTTTGCCAGCCTCTCGAATGTGCTGGCCTTCCATGTGAGTTTGAGTTTTAGTTTTCGGTTTCAGTTGTGGGTTTCTGACACCGACACGGACATGCAATTTGTGTGTTTGTCGCTTGGATCGAGGCCTAAAGGTAGTCAGTCCTGCCTTTTCCTCCCTGCTGCTACTCCCACAAGGGAGGGAACGGCTAAGATTGTTCTGTGTTGATTGTTGTTTCTGCTGCGGCTCTGGTCCTGGCTCTTTCCCTGGCTCTTTCCCTGGCCTTTTCCCTGGCCCTTTCAGTGTTTTGTTAAAGTTTCTCTGCAGCGTAAAGTCAAGTGCATAGTTTGACTTTCAGCCCAGTGCCTTCTTCACCAGAGAATGAGGCGGAACTACTGGGTATGCATGACAGGAACACAAACGCCAGCCAGCCAACCATCCAGCCAGCCAGCACACTCACACAACTAAATCGAATTACACTGGGTGCGTTTGCGTGTTACTATGTCTATGAGAAAGTTTACGCTGCCAGGATTGAGTCAATAAAGAGCTTCGGTTTGGAGCCGCCCAGCTCTGACGTTGATACGCTCGGACAGTACGTTCCGTTATAGATATAGATATAGAAATCATCTAAAGAGTATCTAAATAATGGGATATAATAATGTTGATTCGCTTGGGTATAGTTTTTATAAAAATTTAATCAATAAAAGGATAAAGTTAGTAGTCAAGAAATATCCCCTATCAGTAGAGTTTTGTTATTCCTATATCTTTGAACTACACTGTACCTGTACTCCTGCTCGAAAGTGTGTTGAGGTGCACACAAAAAAATTTCTTACAGAAACAGCAACACACAGCACAAAACACAAAACACAAAACAATTACCCAAAGAGCAGAACAGTACCTTTCGAATAGTTTTTCAGTCTCAAGGAAAGTCAATTCCAGTTGAATTACTTTGAAAATTGCCAAAGGTAAAACACAGAGCACAAACAAATTGCCCCTCACAGAACCAATGAAAAATTGGAAAAGCAAATCAAAGGTTGGAAAAAACAAACAGAGAGAGAGAGAGGGAGAGAGCGAGAGAGCGAGTTTAAGTGGCTTATCATCAAATGCAATGGGAATTTTTAAGTTATGATTCGAAGGTTGCCATTTGGTTGGGCTCCAAAGAGTGATCCAAACGAAAAGGCAACGTTACGACGAGCTCAGACCGGGATTAGGCACTAACTCTTTATTGCCTGTCTGTCTATCCGTCTGCTCGTGCAGGAGTCGAAGACCTATGACAATGCGAATGTGGCAGCTGCTGGAGGAGCGGGCGCCGGAGTGGGTCCGGCCCAGACACAGGGGCCGGCGGGCGTCCAGCCGCAGCGGCCCGCTCATGCAAAGGAATACAGCTTCTTGGACATGGAACTCAAATACGGCTTTCTTCAGGTGAGTGGCAGGTCGGTGTGTGTCCTTCGCTCGGATATTGTATGCTGTATGTTGTCCTGCAGCTGACGGAGGCCCTGGCGTATCTTCACTATTCCGGTCACGTAATTCATCGAAATGTGTGTCCATCCTCTGTACTAATAACTAAACGCGGTATATGGAAGCTAGCTGGCATGGAGTATGTGGGTGAGTACCACTACCACTACTCGTGGTAGTATATTGTGGCCACTGTCCATAGGCCAAATTGAAATGAATTGAACTGACGGGTGTGTGGGGCGGAATGGCAATTTGTATTCATATTCGCATTGCAGAAAGAATGAATGAGACTGATTTGAATAGCTCAATTCCGTGTCCGCCGTGGAGTAACAGGGTATCAAAGATGGCCCAGCCGAATCTGGATTTTATGGGTAAATTCGCATCATTCATTTGTATCTTCGATAATTTGTATATTGTGATATATTTTAGCACCCGAAACACAGTCAACGTCCAAGTGCAGTCTGCTCAGCGATATGTTCTCATTGGGAATGGTGATCTGTGCGGTATTCAACAATGGCAGGCCCCTGATACAGGCCGGAAACTCCACCTCCAACTATGCCAAGCAAATGGAAACGGTGCGTAAATAGCAGAGGGATGTACATCGAAGGACAAGTGCCAATTGGTTGGATAAAAAGTTTCCAGAATCGCTCCGCTTGGCTGCTTCTGGGCTGTGGATTCTGGTCTGTGGGCTCTTTCGAGTTTGGCTTGTTTGCCTGCTGTAATTAGATTCGCAGCTTTGTCAAATGCAAATGTAATCAAAAAGTCCACTTGAAACTCTAATTATTTTGCCACTTGTGCGGACAGGTGACGGAGCGGAGCAAACAGAAGCTGTAGCTGTAGCTGTAGCTGTAGCCGTAGCTGTAGCCGTAGCCGTAGCCCCCCCAGGCGTTTGTCATTAAAACTTTTCGTCCTGTCTGGGGCATTGGACTTGTCCTCAAGTGGTTTCTAATGTTGTGGCCAAGTTTATTTCGGTTATGCTTATACTTTTCCCCCCTTCTCCCTCTGCTGTCCCTAACAGTTGGATGATATGGTCCACAAGTTGATGCCTCGTCTGCCCATTGCCCTGCAGGAGGCCACTTCGCGCATGGCCAGTCGGGATGCAACGGCCCGGCCCACCGCCCAGCTTCTGCAGTTGATCAAGTACTTCATGTGAGTGGATAAATTAATTAACTTTCAGCTAAAGCGTACATCCAGGAGTAACAGTCGTCAGAGTAATAGCAATTTGTGCAGTTTTTTCACACAAAGTTTTTTTTTGTTGAGTTTTAAATGTAATTGACACCTGCTGAAAGCACACACACACACATTTACCTGAATGTGTGTGGTTTGATGTGGTGGTGGGACACGCAATCTCTAAGCCAATTTGTAGCTAAAATTCAATTGAAGGTTTCAATTTTTTTGCACCAACATCAACCATTCAAGCAACGAAGACACACACACGCTTTAATTACGTCTGTTTGCCAAATGAAAACGGTAATCAGACCTGAAAGACATACACAATGCAAAGTGAATGGAGGCTGGAAGCTCCGAGAAGGTCCCACACGGAAGTGGAAGAGATGAATGGTAGCGCGGCGAATGTCCTACGCGGAGCTGAAAGGGAGATGAATGAAGGTCAGAGCTGGAGTGGAAGCTTTTCAGCTGATTGTGCTCTAGTAGTGGAATTCGAGTGGCAGTTGGAGGCATCTCCTAGGACCTGCCTTCCTGTCTTGCTGCCTCCCTGCCTGCCTGCCTGCCTGCCTGACTCTGGGATTTATGACGACAGCAGCTGTTTGCCTCCTGCCTCCTGGAGAGATCTGCGGAGGGAGTAGGAGTCCGGCCGTGCAGGCGTGCCGCGCTTAGACAAACAAAGCCAAAGATGATGCTGGTCGCTGGGGGAGATGGGGCATAGCTGAAGTGGCAATGGCAGCACAGCGAACACAGATGACGATTCCATGGGGCGCCCCAGCTAGTGGATACCGCATACAATCTAAAATAATGATTTGATAATGAAAATGTGAAAGGAAGGAAAATAAAAGAAGTGGCCCCAAAGTAGAAAGATTTTATCAAGGCTAAATCCTCTATGATAGAACCACTTTCCAATTTGTAGATAACCGAAATTCCTTGGAAAAAATACCTGCAAGAAGGAAACGGTTTTGGTGTTTCTGACAATATCTTGTATGTATATTTAAAGTGCAGTGAAAGTATACGTTGCATGGCAGACCTTCAGTCTGATATACCCTTCGTTACACCCATCTTTGTGCGACTCTAAACACGCTGACAGAAGCAGCTACAGGGACAGCAACAGCGTGCTGCTCCACTTCCATCACTTTCCCTTCGGCTCTTCCGCTCTTCCGCTCTATCGGCATCACCATCTCCACTGCCGCTCTGCCACTGCCTCTCCCATCTCGAGCGTCTTCCCATTTCCCCATCTTCCTCCTTCCTCCTTCCTCCCTGTTGGCCAGGCAGTCAGTCTGTCAGCCAGGTTGGTGGCAGCACTTTGAAGTTAATTTAAATGTTGTCAACATTTTCCGCGTTTTTAGCTGCGTATGCAAATGTCTCGAGTGTCTTGGCAATCAGTGGCAAGCTAACTTTCCTTACTTACTCTGCCACAGAGTTTCGCCCCGACTCCGTGACTCCGCGGCTCCGAGACTCCGCGACTCACCGACTCTTAGGTAGATGGATATACTTGAAATATGATTTTGCTTGGTTAGTTGCGCTGATTAAGTCGACAAGAAGGCAAGTAAGCCGGACAGCATCTGTTGCCGCGTGCAACACGGCGCATACGTAATTCGAATTAGATTCATTGTTTATCAAAGCGCACCGTGGGGATTTGCCAATGCAACTTTCTGCTCAGCGGCGAACAATACAACTGTATTTCTCATTTTCTGAGCAATTTCCCAGCCAAGGACCCTCTTGGCCTGCTCCGCCACAGATAACAGACTTAGACCAATAAAGGGGTTTGGTATTCACAGAATGTGGTCGAAAGTAAACACTTTTTGACAATTAAATTTCAGCAATTCGCATTTACATAACAATGAAAAGTACGAGTATTTAAAATTCTGAGTATTCAGAAAGTTGTGGCAGCGCCACCGCACTCCGTGGCCCCGAGGGTGTGACCGGGCGGAATGGGGCTTAATATTTTAATTGAAGTCCCTGCCGAGATACATAAATATTTCGTTTAGTTAATATTCGGTGTGTTTTAATTTGTCTGTTGATGAATTGAATATTCGAGTTTTACATTTAATTGCCTACCATTTAGCCACTAATCCAATTCAAACAATTCGTAGCGAAAAACTGCAATTAAGCACTTTAAAGAGATTATATAAAATGCGTTAAATATTCGTTTGAAATACGAGCGATTTTATTCAAGAGTACTTGCACTCGTACCATATTTACCCAAAGTGACAGGCAGATGGTGAAATTTAATTTAATTTGATACGATACTTGCGACTTAAGGTTCTTTTGCATCTTCCACAGCGATCCGGCTATAAATGCTCTCAAGTTCCTGGACGTGGTCAACATGAAGGACACGCAGCAGAAGTCCCAGTTCTACAAGACCACCTTGATAGAGGCCATGCCGGTGATACCACGTGTAAGTCTCCATCACTGTTTCTGTGTCTGTCTCTGTCTCTCAGGGCTCTCACCGGAAACGGATGCAGCCATTTTTGGGTTTTCTATATTTTACTTCTTTTTGGTATTTGGTTTGGGAAAAGGAGTCCAGTGGAGTAGGGAACAGACAGCGCATTAATCATTTACCACGGCGCCACGTTGTGCGCTTTACGGCCAAACAATTTGTGAATTACGGGCCGTTTTATGACAGTTGGACAAAAATGTTGCTGCAAACGAGTGTCCTTTTGTTTTTCTGGCTCCGAGCACAGAGCGGGCCCGTGGGGTGTCAAGCCATCAACAACAGGCACGGAACAGGAACCCGGACAACAATGGAGCCTGAAGCGGAAGGTGGAAGGGCTTTGGCCATTGTCCGACACCGTTAATGACAGCTTACCATCGGCAATTGAAATGCCATAGACTAGTTAATGACTGTGTCTGTTCTCTCACTTTTATGCACCTTTTTTTCTCTCTCTCTCTTTCTCTCCGTCTTCAGAAACTTTGGTGGCAGACCATTTGGCCAATGCTCAAGTCGGAGATCAACAATAACGAGGTCCTGGCCGCAGTCCTGCAGCCCGTCATGCTCTTTGTCCAGGAAGCCACGCACTTCGAGTACGATGCTTTGATGTCCGCCACAATGAAGTAAGTAATACCTTTGTATAGTAAGAGATTGTGAATAGTTTTGAAACTTGTGAATGGAAAGGAAATTAAGCTGAGAGCAGACCCTAATGGGAAACTGGGACTTGAGCTGGAGGTTAGAGATGAAAGTAGAATAGGAATTTGTATAAGATCGGTGACTAGATGTTAGGGGGTCACCATGATGGTGACGGAAATATTTCCGCTGTTTATATATAAAATGTTCTATAAACTAAACTAAAAACCTGACAAATTATTACTTGATATGGGAAATAGAGAATAGACTGATTAAATTCGTGTTTCGAAAGCTCTTCATCAACTAACGCTGTTATTATCCTTTATTATATCCGATAAGTACCAAATCGAAGTGAAGATTCATTCATTCAAAGAAGAGTACCCGTAAATGTATTCATTACACCTATTCATATTCATTCATATAAAGTCCGGCGGTAAGTAGTGCTTCAATACTCTCATTGTTGGGGCAGCTTCCGGAGTTTCTCTTTCTCTCCATTTTTCGTCTTCGTCTTCGTCTTGGTTTCCCTTTCCGTATACCAGGATCCTGGAGATCTCCCACAACTGTTTGCTTAAACAATTGAAAAACTTTTCGGACACTTTTTCTGTTATTTAATTTTCATGACATTTTATTGCGCTCAGTAGGGCGGCTGGAGCTGGGAGGACACGACAGTTCATATTGTAATTTATAGAGCTCAAGTGGAAGCTGCAAACTTTCCCAGCTCAACTACTATGCCGTGGGAGGGTGCTCTCACCTTTTGTGGCAGCCGTGCATAAATTAGTGAAACACACAAAGCCCGGAGATCCCGGAGAGCTCCGGTTCGCGCTCACTATATTCGCACTTTGCTGGAAAGTTGCTGGCAAAGTTTCTGGCCACTTGTAAGGCGCTTATTGACACCCTGCCGAAAAAGTTTTCCACACGACACAACCACAAAGGACACGGCACGGCACGGACACGGACACGGACTAATGCGTTTATTTTTAGTAATTCGTTTCTTCCTACAATCCGGCCATAAGTCAGGGACAACTTTTATCTAATCACATCTGTGGCGTATCGCTCTCTGTCTCTCTGGCTGTCTGTCGCCTTTCAGAATCGTCTACAATACACCGAAATCCATTCAGGCAAGCGTTACGATACTTGAGAATTTGCATTTGATTATTGAGAAGACGAAGCCGGAGGATGTTACCACAGACATAATGCCGATGCTATTCTGCTCCTTCGACGGATCCACGATACAAGTGCAGGTGAGTGCTCTGCTTTCTTGGGCTATGCAAATGAGTTTTGACAGAGAGAAAGACAGACGGCTGCCGGCTGCCGGCTGCCGGAGAATGGAAATGGGTTGACAGAGCTCATTGTGTAATTACGAGGCACTCGCACAGCACACCAGCAATTTCTTAATTAACTGCGACTCAGGCCATAGAAAGAGCCTGGGGGGGGCCTTCGCTAGTCATGTTCATGAATTTCCATATCGTTGTTTTGTGGTTTCTTTCTGCTTTAGAGTGCCGCCGTTGTGGCTGTGGCCAATGTCTTTGACAGCATCGATGAGCTCTCCATTCGCCGCATGGTCCTGCCCAAGGTCAAATTGGTATTCGAGAAGAACATTACTGATCCGAAGATAGTGCAGAATGTGCTCATGTGCATTGAGCGAGTAATGGACCGCATGGAGCGGGCACAGGTGAGTGCTGTGCTTCACCCTTTTTTGTTTTGTTTTTTTCAGTTTTAAGCCCCAACTGAGTTCGATAAATCGTCTGTGTAATTTGTGTACAGGTCATGGAGGAGGTCCTACCGCTGCTGGCCAATATACGCATACCCGATCCGGATATCATCATGCGTACTGTGCGTAAGTTGACCCAGACAATTCCTCCTCGTTCAATTTCACAGACAAAAACAACAGTCCGCATTGTTTTTGCCCATCGCCGATAGCCAAAAACTAATTAACTTGCATAAAACTCAATTTGCGAGCTTGCTGGCCTCTCACAGATACAACCCACACAAACACACTCATACATGAATATTCGATTGTATCTATGCGATTGCGAATATGTGGATGCAAACATATGCCGACAGTGCGTTTCGGGATTGTACGGAACTGCGAATGGAATAAGCCGCAAATCCTGAAACGCACTGTTGGAGAGCCAAGAGCTTATCACAAGAGTCTCTGTTGCTCTTCGATTCCACAGGCATCTATCATAAGCTGTTTGTGGACAAATCATACGGCCTGAGCGTGGAGACCATGGCCACCAATGTGCTGCCTCTGCTCATACCGCACACCGTAAATCCGGCACTCAATTTCGAACACTATTGCTATCTGCTTGAAGTAAGTCCCCTGAAGGCTGTAGAATTTTTTCAGACTAGCACTCTGTTCCTCTCTTATGTCAGGTACTGCAGCAGATGCTGGAGGCCATCGATCGACAGCAGCGGAATAAATTGAAGCTGGACAACCTGTCGATGGCCTCGCCCGAGCGTCACCGGACACTGCGCCACCAATTCTCAACGGACAACATGAACGCGCCGCCCTTCAACATCCCCAACCTGCGCATAGATCAGCGCAAGACCTCTAGTGCCGAGGACATGGCCCGTAAGAACTCTGGCGGTAAGTGGTGGGGCTGTGGCAGTACCAGTAATATGTACATCCTTAATTATGCGGCCTCCGGTCATTTATAATTGGAAATTTTAGTCGTGATTTCAAATTTGATACCTATCGAACGTGACGGAAGCCCTAATTCTCTCATTTCTATCTCTCTCTGTCCATTGTGTGGCCATTGTGCGGAGCCTTTAATTGTATTATTAGGAAAATGATAATTTTATAATAACCAAAATGAAAATTAAAAGCTGCGCCCGCGGCCAGGTATTATCCGGTGTATCAGCAGTGCAGGCGCCTAATGAACCTTTGCCTTAATGATGATTTATTATGATGGCCTTAATCGCGTGTAGACATGACACGACTCGGCCCTGGCCCTGGTCCTGGCCCTGGCCCTGGCCCTGGCCCTGCACCACCCTGTACTCTCCACTAATCTTCCTGCAGTTTCTTGGCAACTAACAATTTGCCAGAAATGTAAGCTTGGCCCTGGCCCTGACCGCCCCCATGTCAGCTGTCCACATGTCATCCTGCTGCGTATTGAAAAGTTGAGAGTCTTCTTCTCTATGGGGGGCGTCTCTGTCTTTGGCAAACAAACAGAGCCAGTCCGTTTGTGGTTCTCAAAAGACAGCACAGAAGGGCCAACATTTGCAAATGGTTGCATTTTTCTGAGAATAGATGGTATTCTTTGTATTCATAAGGAACTAAGCGTTTACGCTTAAACCTAAGAGTATGAGGCATCCATGTTTAAAGACAGGTTACTCCTGTTTGCAGTAGCTATGTCTTAAAGCCAGGAGAGCTCTATATACTCTTTATGAATATGAATACAAACATTTTGCATATACTTTATAACTGCGGAAAACTCTACTCATCTTCGCAACAAGCCACCCCAATAAACTACAAAGTGAATGGATAAACTTGATATTCAAGTTAATAACTTACGCCCATGTATTGCCACAAAATGTGCCTCGCCTGGTGGCATAACCAGAAGCCACGGAGACGTGGACGGGGAGGGGGTGGGGGTGGGGGTGGGGGTGATGATGCCAGGTGTCAGGGTCTGGTTAGGGAGCCAACAAGAGTCATATGCAGCGGCCGCAACCGCAAAATGTGCGAATGTCCTTGACAGTGACAGAACCAGCTAACGGAAGGATTGTGGATGGGTGGAGCAGCTCTGAAATGATGGGCCGTTCTGGGGTTTGGTGGTTTTTGGTAGTGAGTGCGTGGGGCTACGGCTACGTGCCTCTGTTTTCAGGCCTCGACCGCGAACATTATTAGACTTAATTAGCTGGGCTCAGAGCACCGAATGCTGGCCCTGTCAGCGTACACGTAATTGTATATCTCTTTTGTGCTCTCTCTCTCTCTCTCTCTCTCTATTCCTTCAATGTATGTGGATGTAAATTTACCTTTTGTCTCTGTTTCTGCGGCAGGGTCTGGAATGCTGGGTGGCTGGTGGTTCGGCTGCTCGCCATCGTCGCCGGATAGCAATTTCCTGCGCGTTGGGAACGTGTTCCCCAATCGACGGCTCTCGGACAACACGCTGATGACACCCAAGATCCGCATCGCGCCCTCGTGCGCCTCATCGCCGGGCGGCACGCCGGGCAGCGGCCTACCGACGCGACGCCACTCAAGCATTGGGCCACAGGAGCGCCGGGGCTCCGCCATCAATTTGTCGCCGCCAACTGTAAGTTGTTTGTGTCTGCCACGCCACTGGGCGAGCCTTCAGATCCAGTACCAGTTTTGTGTTCGTTTTCGAATTTCGGTTTTCATTTGTTGCTTTCCGTTCCCCTTTTTTGAATTATCATTCTTGTTTGTCGTTCATTTTGTGGCCGCCATTGCCATTGTTTGTTGTGGTTTTTCACTTTCGTTGTTTCATTTCGGGCCTCTTCCCTTTCAATTGACTTTCGGCGGCCACAAAGGGCCACACAAAGTCACTTTTATCATCTTTTATTGGAATTTCGTTTGAGTCCGCCCTTCGTTTCGTTTGGCTCTTTCAGCAGCCCATGTGTCATCATATATCCAGTTGAACTATAACTACTACTATATCCAAATAGCGATAACATAGCCATATAGCCTTATAGCCATATAGCTATAGCGCCTAGCGTAGCGTTTAGCGTGTTTAATTTCAGTCTACAATTACAGTTACCGTTAACAGTTAACAGTTGCCACCACAAGCTGCTTGAAGCAAACATTGCCACAAAACCAGACAAGAAACATTCCGTTCTCATTTCAGTTTCACTTTTAAGTTTCCTTCTCAGTTCCGTTTCATTTCCCAGTTTGATTTTTTATGAATGTGGTTATGTAATTGATTATCTCATTATCCCCACTACCCTCCAAAAGCCCCACCGCTATGAAGTCAACATTCAACAAAAGCTCTAACACACGCTCTCTTATCTCTTATCTCCACTCTCCCCACACAAAAAAACAAAAAAAAAAAACCCCCCCACCACACGTGTGACACACAAAATGAACAAAATAACGTTGTCCTCCTCATCGGGGTCATTCGATCTCCACTCTCTAAAACATTTAGTACGGTGGTGCCCGCGGTAGCTCTGGATCGAGTCTATCGGTGCCCTCGACTTCGGTATATGTTGTAAGTCAAAAAAACACAGCAATCTGTCATCTACTATGTCGAAAACTCACCGCTTCGACCACGTCGAAGATGCTATACCCTTGCTGGGCTTCAATTTGTTGGGTATTGCCGTTCATTTTGTATAACGAATTTTTCTTAGCAATGTCTTTTGAACGGGAATCTGTTCCATTAAAGTACTATAGTACTGAAGTCCTATGATATGTTATTTCTTAAAAGATACATCTAGAAATATATGAGAGATAAACTGAATCACCCATCAAACAGTCATTTACTCCTTACATACTTTAAGCTAAACGTATAGCCTCTGCAAGGGTATAGGTCAAAGTCCAGACATGGTTAGACCTAATCGTATTCGGATCGTATGATGTTCTTGTGCGAGTTGTGGGCAGCATCCAGCCAGCATCGAATTTGACTTTGCCTTGTCTCGTTGTTGTCTGTCTCGTTGTATTGTTATCGCTGTCGTCTCCTAAACGCACTCAACAAAACTCAACTCTGTCCCGCTGTCTCTTTCTAAATACACACAGACACACATACATTACAAGCAATAAAAAAAAACCTACACTCTCGTTCAAGCTTGCAACGGTTCTTGTTCTCGTTCTTGTTTCTGTCCATCCCTCCATCCATGCCAAAGGTAGTTGGTGCACCTTGGATCGTTTTCGTTTCTAACCGTTTCCAACCAGTTTCTACTCGTTTGCTCGCCTACTCGACTCGCTCGCTTACTCGCTCACTCGCAAGCGTCACTCGCTGCGTCTCTTTTGATGTGTTTTTTGAGACTGAAAATTGAGTTTGAATATGAATTTGACTTGCTGTCTGAATCTCTCTCGTTGCTGTTCTCGTATCCGTATCCGTACTCGTTCTTGTGCTGTTATTTGAATGGATTTTGTTTCCATATTCTGTGGTCCTATGTTGTTTTTAATTTTCCCTCCATTTTGATTTTTGTTCGCCCTTCTATGCATTTTGCTGCGCTGTTGCTACATACTGTATGTGTTACTGTTTCTGTTTATGTCTCCTATCTTTAACTTGTTCTTCATCGTTTTCGTTAAATTCTGGTTTGTTTTTTGTGTTGCTCCTGCACAGCGATTCAAGAGTTCTGTTCTTGAGAGCTGTGTCTGCATCTCTTTGTACATCTCTCTCTATCTCTGGGTCTTGCCCCGCCTCCAGCCAGGCCAAATGGAAGCTTATGCTAATAACCCGTATTGTGTACATAATAGAGTCGATTCTATACAATTTTTCTTGTTTTTTGGTGTTCATGTTACATTCTTTTCCTACTTACTTATTACATTTTGTGTTTCAAGTGTGCGTGTTAAAGAGAGGCCTACACGAAAATGTAATGGAAAATATCTGAATATCGATGTTCAAAGATGTAAATGTTATGAAGTGGAGAGTTTAATCAAATTTGAGAACGGAAAAATCATCAATGCAAAAATTTAAGCGCCGAAATTTCTGGGGCTTCGTAACAAATAATGTGTTGAAAATCGTGGAAGTTTTGTAATTTGAAAGAAGCGTTTATTTCATAGCTACCAAGGTCCAATTGAATATTGAATTTCAGACAAATCGTTTTTTTGATGATGGATTAATTATTACAAATATATATAAAGTGTTCCTATATTCGAGAAAGAACTTTGATATCCGATAGGACTTTCATTCAAAAGGATCTATCTCTTAAATGACCAAAGTTAAGCTAATTAACTCGTCTCTATTCTTATGGCTAACATCAAAGGGCCATTAAACGACGGTGAAGCCATGAAGACTAAATGGAGGACTCGCCATCAGTAGCCAATACAACAGAATAAACAACTGCAGCTTATGTTTATACATATATCTATTATGCGATACTTTACTATACTGTTCTAAATACTCGTATACCTACCTACTTATTCATTAAATGTCCTGATCGTGCTCAATGTTAATTTGGTTTCCTTCCCATTTCCCTCTGTTCATGTTGCGTTCTTATCCAGGAAAACAAAATAAAAAAAAACTCAAGAGATATGTACACCGACACACACAGACACACACACACACACACACACACACACACATATGTACACATGGACACTATACGTATTATATATGCATATGTGTATTGGTATGTCTTGATAAAAACGAAAAGAAAATAAAAGCCAGATTTTTGTTGTGCATTTTCGTTGCTGTTGCTGTTGCTGAATCTTTGAACAGCAGCGCAGTGGAATCATGTTTAACCCCGGGTTGTTCCTTTTACCAGCCAAAAACACACACACACAGACACGCTCCAGGCCCAGGCCCAGATACAGATACAGGCACAGACATGGACACAGATACAGATACAATCAATACATATGTACATATGCGTTAAAAGGCTGCGTTTTTTTCATGAATGTACTTTCCGTTCTTCATTTCATGTACGAACACGAACAAATACAAAAAAAAAAAAATAAAATAAAATCGATTATACGTATAAAATAAAATTAAAAAATTCGCAGCTTGCACGGAGCATGATCGTGAGTACACGTTTCATAATTTCGGATTTTCAATTTAATTTTCTTTGAATTTTCCATCACGGTCTCTTTCGCATACACTCTCTTATTCTGCCTTTCAACTATTTAAGGTCTAGACACGCACATACACACACACACACACACACACACACATACACACACACTCATACTCACACACACACTCAGAAGTATGCTGATATTAAATTTTATGTTAATGTAATTTGATTTCATTTGATGCGGCCCCTTATCCAGCCCCCAACTCCCAGCTCCAAACCCCACAAGCCACCACCCCATTTCGACGACGAGACCAAATCTGATTTGAGTACTTGAATAATTTGGAGTGTATGTATATTCATTCGCATATGTAAATACATACATACATACTATGTCCATATATCTATACCCATTCTATAAGTATTCTCGTACCGCTTATATTCGTTTATATTCGTTTGTATTAATGTTTTTTGGATCAAAACATTCTCATGTCTGTCTGTCGATTGATTGAGTTTCGAGTTTGACTTTCGAATTTGCCAAAAATCTTTGCTTTCGTTTCGTTTTGTTGTTTGTTGCTTCGTTGGTTTGTTGGTTTGTTGGTTTGTTTGATTGTTTGTTTGTTGCACAATCAGCTAAATGTATACTTCTTCTCTGTCAGAGCCACTCATGAATAATGCCTTGGGTTCGAGAGACTCAAACTAACACTGACACTGACACTGACACTCACACACCCACGCACATCGAATACTTTGTACATAGCACAAAAAAATATTCAATAATAATCGAATTATGTATAAGTATGACCAAATCGCATCCACCAATCCAATCCAGATAGACGATTACATATGACAAGCCTTGACTAATCTTCCAAAGAAATCTCCTTTATTGTACTCCCAAAAACAGGGTGGCTCCATGCCGAACACCTCGAGCAGTGTTCCGTTCTTGTTGTCATCGAGCATGCAGTCGATAAGGTCGCGCCGACAGTCGACGGTTCTATCATCGGGTCCTCTCGGCTCTGGATCGGGCATACTGCAGCAGCTGGGATCCGGCATGGTAAGACAATTAACTTCCGTATCCGGCACGGTTAGTCCGGTGCCGCTGTTGCGGGTGAATGGCGCGCGCAACAGCATCAGCCACAGCCACACCAACGTCCGAAAGTGTCCGTCACTCAATATCACATTCAGTCAATAATATAACCTGAACGAAATCGGCGGGGCCCAGCCCCCCGCCGATTCGCTCAGATTCGGGTACGTCAATCCAAGCGCCAGCAACAGCAGCAGCTACCATTACGGCTACAATTACAATCAGAATCTCAACAATGTGCGCTACACAGCTGCACAGCTGCAGAACATGAATTTTAATCTTAAACCACCGCCAAAGTTTTGAATCTCTAAGAACTGAATCGAAAACTGAATGGAAAGAATGTTATAGATCGAAAGCAAAGCAAAATCGAATAAAACGTTGTATTTGCAAGTGGGGGCAGAGGGTAAAATGAAGCAAACAATCAATTAAATTACATTGCATTACCTACAATATTAATGAATGAATGTACCTACCATACTACTATGAGACCTACTATGGCCTAGACATACATACGTAATAATTACATACAGTTGATGCTAAAAGTAAACCAAAAACAAAACAAAACAAAACAAAATAATTATATCAATTATATATTTACTTACATACTCTATATATATACATACATATATACATAGAACGAGTAAAGCTGTTTTTTTGAAGAATTTATTCAAGTCCTATATATTTGTATGTACCATAAATGTTAATGTTGGAAACATATCCGAAGTCGTAACAAAGTTATATCTATACGTACCACATAGCCCAATTGGAAACTTAATATTATCATTATTATTATTGTTATTTCTATTGATTGTTGATTATGATATCGTATATGATCGTACCTCCTATCGTACCTGTACCTGTCCCTGTCTCTCTACCTCTACATTTATTTTTTAACAAAGACAACAATAACACCTATAACCATCTTCCAAAGACATTTCGATCTGTCGAAGATCGATTATCTATTTTAGTTCGAAAAAAACTAAAAAAAATTGAGAGAGCTCCAAGTCCTCACCAACAAACATGCACACTAGTGCCAATATCCGATATTTATTCAAGTACAGTGTGTATGTTAGTTTTTATGTGCGGAACGTGATGTTAATGTTTTTTTTTTTAATAGTATACCTTATCATTGTCGTCCTGGTAAACGTATTTGAAAAGAAATCACAGTCAGTTTCGATGATTAGATCATAAGTCCCCATAAGTATGAATTTATCGGATTAATGTTGGAATTAAATACACGCCCCCCCCCCTCCCCACCCGCTCACCCACTCACCCGGTCAGCCATTCTCATAAGGCGAAAGTTATACTATATGATAGTCGTACAACTTTAAGGACCAACCAATAAGTTTTAAGAGCTGATTTCCATTAGGATACATCGATATTTAGTTTTTTAATTTTAGTATTTCCCTCTTTTTCTTTTGGAATTTGAATACTATTTTTGTTTAGTTTCCATTGTTTTTTTTTTTTGCATTTTGCATGAGTTGTTTGCTTGCCATTTATTTCATAACGCCCTACTTGAGTAGTTAAAAAGATTCCAGGCAATGTGCCCAAATTTGATCAAATATTTAATATTTGAAGCTCAATCCAAGCCCATATGCAAAGACTCAAGATACTACTAAAACTATATTCAAAACTGAGCTGAGATCAATGTACATATGTAAATATGGCTGAGACTAGAAGAGAAACTTGAACCTTTGCTACGGGTATGACCTTTATATGTATAAGTGGTGAAGCGATACAGAACTATCCTAGAACTTAAACTGAAGTAAAAGATAGTCAAGATACAAATAAACGACCAGCTAAAAATGCATGCTATTTATATGGAATATATGTATCTGTGCTTTCAGTTTGTGGTTGTTCTTGCTTTTGCCGTGGGACGATCGTCCCTCGGGGCTATGACTATTGCATAATTGTGGTGTTCTGCTCCTATGTGTATTGTATTTGTACTACTTGACTTGCCATTTTACTTTCTGCCCATCTGAACTGCACAATAAATATTTTGGAAATACAACAACAAAAGGAGAGAAACTATCGAAAATATCGAAGCTGAAAAAGCCAACTAAAACCGAACCGAACCGAACCAAGCTGAAGATAGCAGCAGCTGAAGATAGAGATATTGTATGATATACATATATATACATATATATATATATATATATATACATATATATATACATATTTACTTGATTGTATATATACTTGATTGTTTGACTGACACTGAAGGCTTTAGAGGGCTGCTACCAACTATAAAGCTACGAACCTATATGAATCTGATCTATAAATCTATACCAAATCTATCAACCGACTTACCAGCTGTTGATACGCATTTGTATTTGTATTTCAACTACTACTCTACTATTACTATTAAGACATTGCGAATTTATTGTAACTGTTAATTGTATTGTATATCTAATGCTAATGCTTCGCCTTTGTTGCACAGTCAGTGTTGTTCCCCCATATATAAAAACAATACAACCCCGCCGTCCCCAAAAATCCCACCAACCCGCTGTATTTACCTAGCATTCCAGATTTAAGTTTGTTTTTTTAGTTTTTATTTTGCTTTCGCTGTTTCATTCCTACTGTAAGTTGTACTTATAATTATGATTATGATTACTTCGAAATGTGCCTTAAGAGTTCAAAAGTTCTCGCTTTCTGAGTCTGCGACAAAGATCTAAAAAGATCTACTATCAACAAAAAGAGATCGCCAAGAGTAACTACTAAACGAACCCATATTTGTGGTTGAATGTAAGTCGCCTGGAGGAAAGGTCTCCCCAGTAGATACTCCCACCCCACCCGCCCCCTCCAAAGCTCACTGCAGTCCACACTAATGCCCACACTCATCCACAATTGTACCTTAGTAGTAGTTCTGTAGACACTCACCAGACCCACAACACATCCATCCATTAATCCATCCATCCAGTGAGAGCCAAACACACACACACGCAAACATACACACACACACACACACACACATACGTACTAATAAGAGTTTAAACTGCTCTTAGATAGATATCCGTAGTTTGCATTGTACTCGTATGAAAAAAGTTTAACCCAACAGATCCCAGAAGATCCAGATATCCAGCAAAGGATCCCCGAGCCGATCGAGTGCATGACCCAACCCTCCAATCATCCCTTAAAACTGATGTCTATGTCTATCTAAATATTTTTTTTAAATATATAATTGTAATAATATAATAATAACTATCATATGTGTAATAATGCTCCCCAGTTTCTCTCTCCCTGTCTACAATTTGTTGGTGTATTTTCCTGTAATTCGTAAAACCCGTAATATCGTAACATCCGCATCCGTATCCGTAACTTTAACGGATCGGTATGTATGTGAGACTAGCAGCAACTGATCCCATCTTAATCGTATTTGCCCCGTTTTCGTACCCATATACGTATCCGTATCCGTAGATAGATAATAAACCCCAAATAACAATACCAATAGCACCGTAATATGTATTTTAAAAATCGTGTGAAACAACCAGATTGATGGCCTAATTATCTTGCAACAACTCTATTACAGTATCAACTATTCTCCGGACGTAACTAAAGAAACGAAAACAGAAACAGATAAATACCATTCAAAAGAATCTAATTACTTTTCAATGCAATTTCGGTCCAGTAATCAACTTATATTAGCGTTATACAGATATTACATTGTAAACGTAAACCAAGAGCAAGGAAAGCTTAAATATGTATTTCACTCGAAACTCTAAATGTTATTACTAGCCAAAATCCAATTTGATGTGACCAAAGAGCGCAACAATGCTCGTAATCTTATAATCGAAAATACTCGTACCAAGAATATCACCAAGGAAAACCAATTTTAAACTAATTTATCCAAATGATGAAATGAAAAATGATGAGTGTCAAACACAATCAAACAAAATTAAACACAACACAACACACACTCACGAGTACATTTTGATGCCATAGAGAACCCCCACAAAGAAAAAACACACAATGCCAAATGCAATCAATTCGTAGAAACTCTAACAATACTTGGATATATTTATCATACTTATTATACAATATGTTTATGATAGGCAAAAGTACTTAGCCACTTCCTTTATGTGTCATACAAATACTACCTACATACCTATAACATATGAATATTTTTCGAATTATTTAGAGAACATGAATAATCAAGCCAAATCATTTAGCATCAACATCTCAGCCTCAGACAGATGGAACTTCGGACCACCGATGAGATGCGCTTTCCAAAACAAAATCTCTCCAATGCAATATTATTCATAAGAATTGCCAAGAATTTCCTTCAGATCTTAATTATTTCGTATATTTAGACCTTCTCTTTTGAAGGGCGACATCAGGTCATATCGCTTATACATACATACATACACACATATATATAAAAAACCTCACAGATATTAATACATACATACTCGTACATACATATACATATACTCGTATTCGTATAAAAAATAAATCGTGTACCTAGGAGTGTACCTAAAAATCGGCACAAGCAAAATCAAACTTATCTCAGAGCTTTACAGCAGAAGCAATCAAAATGAATATACAATACATACATATGTACGTGCATAAATAACCATGTTAAAAGGGAAAGGGAGAAACAGAAGAGTTTATTTATAATCCAGAATCGTGACCCACTTTATCTCACGCTTTCAAGTAATGAATCTCTGTACATCAAATCATGAATTCCATAAAATACAATACATAATACTCGTACACTCTGTCCGCACCCCAAAACTACTACTAAGGTAAATACTACACGATATCCAGAACAAAAACAAAAACAAAAACAAACAAAAAATACGAAATGTCCACTCCGCCACAACCATGAAACCGAAGCCCGAGCCTGAACCAGAACCAGAACCTGAACAAATTTTGTCTGAATCCCAAATCTATAGTCAATTTGTATCGTTGGGCAGGGCATTGATAAATCAGCAACTACAAATATGTATAGTGCATATATATTAATGGTAAATGGTAAACTCTTGAATCTTCATAGTACTCATAAATGAATACATTACAATTATCATTGTTGTGGTAGCTTTAGCGGAATCGAGATGGAAAACCAAATATGAATTTATATATGTATACAAGAGAGAAGGTAACCAAGACGAACTCTACACAGAACACGCTAGAACTTATATAACTTTATATCGTATATACTCGTATGTAGTACTACTATGCTCTGAACGACACGAACGGGAACGGGACAATCAAAATTCTACCGACACGACATGCTTTTCATTTTGATAATTCAAATCGTTCTGTTGTTCATCATCTGTTATGTTGTTGTTGTCGTTATGTTTGCCCGATCCTCCACTCTTTTTTGGGGGATTCGAGCTTGTGCACCTGAATTTGAAGTCTCTGTTGCTTTTTGTTGAGTCTGAGTTTTGATTTTGATTGATTTTAACGTTCGATCTACGGATCTTAGACAAGGCATATCGATATGGTTTACGGTTTACTAGGACTTAATCATATGTATACATAAATTAGATTAACTTAATTTTAATTAATTTAAACTAAACAAAAACAATCCAAAAAAAAAGGGGAAAACTAAAAGCTCAAACTGGACTGAACTGAACACTTAAGAGTTATATTATGTGTACATTATTGAATATTGAATTGCATTTGATTGTGTGAAAATACATACATACATAAGTTTAATGAGAACACTAATGGTAATATTAAAGGGTATTATATGTATATGTATTTGTATTTGTCGTATATTTGAATGTAACTCTGATTGTGTGTATGATCATCCTCTTCGGTTATCCTCTAAACTATATAATGGAAAACCAACTCTGTCTCTTGTGATCTATTGTGATGCTATGAGAGTCAAGCAGCACTCAACTGTTTTTATGCCTCTTAAAGTTTAAAACAAAGCAAAACAAAAAGCAAAACCAAAACTAAAACTCTATTCTAACTCTAGTCTATGACGAACTTACAAATTGGCAACAAGATTTATTGAAATTGAAAACAATCATGCACAATAAATGTTTGGCTAGACCCGATGTTGAGGCCATGTTAAGACCCAGCTCTTTTTCATATACTCGTACTTACACTACTTGAAGTAATTGTGTACTAAAGGAATTCTAGATTTTAAATGTGCTTCAACTGTTTATAGTAAAGTACTTAATTATGGGTGTAATTATCTAATATCTATGCGTACTCGTACAATGGTTAGGAATACATATGTATAATCATGTGGGATAGATGGATTTAATGATGGAATGGAGCCACAAAAGTGCAAAGAGTATGTGTACGTGTATAAAACAAAAATTGAATTTAAATGTTTAATAAATGTGTGGAAATGAATCAACAGCGTTCATGTTTGTCATTCGTCCTGGAAGAGCGGATCCAGGCTGCACTTGTGGGGCTGTGCCTGATAGTCGTACTCTATGCCGTGGCCCAAGCGCCGCCCCATGTCTCGGGCCGCCTCGTCCGATTCATCTGTGTTGGCCTCGGCTATCAGCTGCTGAGGGAAGTATGTTAATTTGTATCTGGTCTAAATGAACGGAAGACAGAGTCATACCTCAACTTCTCTGGACAGGAATGCTTTGGTTGTATCACTCATTTTCTCCTGTGGCTTTCCCATCAGTGCATTGCTTAGGAATTTATAGGCCGCACTATAAAGGCATTCGTTAGTCACAAATGTACATATATGTTTTTGGGCATGTACCTACGTCAAATCGATGCCATTCATATCTTCCTCCGATGGCAGCCGCTCATTGCGTAGTATGGAGTTGACAACGGCGGCTGCTTCGTACTCGCAGCGCCCGGACAGCTGCGTGGTCTTCATCAGCTCCAGCCACTGGTTGATGTTGTTGAAACTGAGCGACTCGCATTCGTGCTTCACCTTCGCCTCTGCATCTTCACAGCTGTTGGCCATGTACTCTAGGATTGGCTTGGGATTAGTTTTCGCCTTATGTTGCGCTGTTTGATTGGTTTGGGAAGCTCTTACCAATTATGGCCTCGGCATTTTTCACATTTTCGGTAGCCATCTTCAGGTTCTCCGGCGAGAACCCCTTCTTTTCCAAGAACTTCAGAACGCGCTGCTTCGTGGGATTAGTTAATGTGGACTTTCTTTTCTTCACAGATTTCTCCATTTGAGGCTTTGGTTTATCTTTTTCCATTATATTATTGTTGCGCCGCGGAGCTCCCGAATCAAAACACTATCAGCTGTTGCTGAAGCGTTGTCAATCGCTGGTAATTTGTTTGACCTATTTAAAGTATTTAAAATAAACCAGTCAAGTAAAAAATTTATTCAACAATTGGATAAAATAATGATGGCATGGCTAAATGTTCAATCTAGCCAATAATATTCGACGGAATATAGAACTTGAGTTCGTCAGTATATTTACGGTATATTTTGAAAATGAGACGGTATTTTTTGGTATATTTCTGAGGATTGGACGGTATATTTTAACGATAAATACTCGGTCACTCTGGTGTCCCCACCACTTTATCGCGCGCTCAGTTACTGCCACAGGCATATTCCTTTTGTTTTAAAAGAAATTTTATTTAAATAGCATAGTATTCTTTTTTTTAAATAATTGGTGCAATTTAGTTCAATATATGCTAAGTAATTTGCTTTTGAAAAAATAAGGAACACGCCAGCAAGAGAGTTGCTGTGAAGTTTGCTGCTGCGAGCGCGAATACGAAGACAAAGAAACGAGAACAGCAACTTCGTCCGAAAGTCGTCCAGTCACGGAGAGACGGAAAGACCTCCTCATTCCGAAGGTGACTCATTGCCAATATCACTGCCAATTGGAGATTGAAACTGCCAGAACAATTCGATCAATTTTCCCCACTGTCCTTCACACCGCCTCCATATAAGTGCTTCCAAGATGCAGCATTCGAGGCGAGAAATCGGAATGCTCCAAAAGCATCGCGATCACATCAACGAGCACCTCGATGAGCTGGTGAAATGCACCAACTACACGCGCATCAGGGAGGAGTGTGTTCGAATAAACCTGTTGTCGCCCGACATGCTGCGCAATGTCGAAGACCTCAGCGGCGCAGGTTTTAACATGAGCAAGGAGGACAGCCAGCTGGAGCAGCACAGGCGGCTCCTAATCAAGATAACCAAGCGTGGTCCAGCGGCCTACAACCAGCTCATTACTGTCCTGCGCAATGTGGGGAGTCTTCAGGCGGTGAAGCTGCTGGAGGATGTTTCCGAGCAGAATTCCGGCTCCCCCTTCATATCCATCAACGAGAGGAAGATCACCCGCAAGTCGGCCGACATAGTGGATACCCCGTCGCCATCGCCGACGGCGACGGCGGACAGAAATGGTGCATGTGTCAGCAAGGTGTGTTCCTCTACTCTGTGCCCGTTCTGTGACCCTTATATTCAATTACTTACATGCTTTTCAGAGAGAATACAATGAAGCAGGTGGACCGCTAATCCCCTACACGGAGCCCGTTGACGGACAAAAGCGTGACGTCAAGAAGTCGGACAGAGTCCACACTGACGAAGTGGTTGGCACGTACAACATGCAGTCGCAGCATTATCGGGGCGTGCTGTTGATGATCAATATCATAGACTTTCCGGATACTGAGCGCAAGAGGAACGGGGCCGAAGTAGACAGCGATTCGCTGATCCACCTGTTCAGGGAAATGGGCTTCACGATATTCGCCTACAACAACATGAACCAGGAGCAGTTCTTCGACACACTCGGCAAGGTCACTTCGTCGAAGTACGCACAGCAGACCGAGTGCTTTGTAATGGTGCTGATGACGCACGGCGAGCGTGTCGGGGAAATGGATAAAGTGGAGTTTGGCGACGGCTCGGTGGTGGATGTCCACAAGATCAAGAACTATTTCCAGGCCAGTGTGAGCCCGTACTTGGTGCACAAGCCAAAGGTGTTGATCTTTCCCTTTTGTCGGGGCAGAGAAGCCGATCTGGGGCAGCGCATTAACCACTTTGACTCCATAGGCACTGCGGCTTCCCGGCTGAGTCGTCAGGAGGAGACTGTTGTTGAGACCGAGGGCAGACCCTCCACCTATACCAATGTCCCATCCCTGTCAGACACTCTGGTCTGCTATGCCAGCACCCCGGGTTATGTGACCCATCGTGACGCCGAGTCGGGCAGCTGGTACATCCAGACGTTCTGCGACATGATGGCCGACCACGCCCATAACACGCCCGTGGAGGATATACTGAAGAAGACCAACGAGCTGGTGGGCCACATGAGGACCAGCAAGGGCTCCATGCAGACGGGCTCCTTCGATAATCTCGGCTTTAATAAGAAACTCTACTTCAATCCTGGCTTCTACACGGAATAGCCACTGCCATTGCATATAATGAAAGCATTCCTGACTGAATATTTGCATTTCTTGTATGTATCTATGTAAGTTTCGTCGCATTTATGTATTTTAGATTATGTGTCTTGTGCTCTCGTGTGCTAAATACTCTCAATACTGTGTCCTGTCTCTCTATTTGTCCAAATACTCAGCCCTCTTTTTACATTTTGTATTTACCTCCTTAGAGGTATGATAAGGAATTTTAGTGATAGTTATTAGTGATCAAAGTGGTTACCATAAAGTATGACAATTCTAGATGCAATATACACTCCCCTCAATTGATTATACATACATTTGCATAATAAAATTCGATCGATTCCCATATCTTTTGATGAAGATATTGGGATACAAAACCGCAATTTAGATACGAAATCGGTTTGGGATACTATATATTTACATTATACGTAAAGACTATTAAGTAAAGTTTAAATCTATATCTACAGTTGACGTAAATCCTTAGCCACATCATCATCATCACCATCCTCTTCCGCCAAGTGGGACAGCTGCAGTTTGCCAGCAGCACGGATTTTATTGTCGCTGGGCTTCGATTTTGTTTGCTTTTGCGGCTTCTTCTGGCCAATGATGTATTCGGGCATCACCAGTTTGGAGCCCCTAAGCCGGGGCTTGTCCAGCTCCACATCGGCCACTTCTTCGGCTTCCAGCTTCTTGAGATTGCGATTCAGTTTGCTCTTCTTTTTGAATTCAATCTTGCCTCCAGCATCCATCTCTGCATCGTCGCCTGCTTCTGTCTGGCGTTGGGCATCCATTTGCCGCAGAAAAGACAAGGCGGCGCTGGAGTTGCTTTGATCGGATATGTCCACATCTTCTAGGGAATACTTTTTCCACTTGTGGGGATTCATCTGGAAAAGGAACCACGATCTTGTTAAAATCTCTTAATGGAGAGAGCATGGACCGCTGCTCACCTGGTAGTCGGGTGTCTTGCGGGGCTTCAGGCAGCGTCCAATGGGCATTTCCGGCTTCTTGAATATACTCTCTTTGCCCCTCATGCGTTTCAGCTGGCCCACCTCGGGCTCAGTGCCACAATCAATGCTGCGGCCATGGCGATAGTGCATGACCTGTCCAGATCCGGCGTCGCCTCCTGCTCGCTGTTCGAGGGCATTCACTGTGTACGACTTGGCCTTGCTCTGATCCAGGGCCGTCCCCTTGAGCTCTTTGCTGGCGTCGTCGAGGCACGCGAAGAGTGCATTGCGCTTGGCCGAAAACTCTTGCATTTTGCTCAACTAACGTAAATAAATTGTTTTGAGTGAATTAAATGAATATGCGAAAAAGTGTTACCTTACCCAATTACGGAAAACAGCTGTTCATCCAAACCAACACACACGCACAGTTTTTCACACTTTACAACACTACATATTTCCGTGCCGGTGTAGTTCAGCGCTCCAAAAGTGTGCTCGGCGAATTTAATAAATTAATAAGTCAGGTGGATATAAAATAAAACTAATACAAGGGGAATACATTTGCTGCATCCTGCTTTTTGTTGAAAGTGTCGAGTATCCTATCGGGAATCTCGGAGAGTGCCAATATTTTGCACTGCCGAAAATCTAACCCCATGTGGCTTTTGGTGGCAACGAAAGGTGGCGGCATATGAGAACATTGGAAAAAAAGTTGCACTAAAAGTAAAAGCGTTCGAATCCAGTCCAGTTTAACGAATAGTGTCCATTTAAAACGCTTATTGCGAAATTTGTTGAATTTTTGTATAAATTTGGTATATTTTCTATTGTCACTAGTCGTTGCTGCCCTGGTCATCAGTGCTGCAAAACGATCCAACATGCACGACAGCTGATTTCTATTGTGATAAACATTTTTTTACGTGAATATTCCCGCGAAGAACTAGGAGTTTAGCCTGTAGTTTTTTACTTTTTTTAATGCGCACTGCATGCAAGAATGTCGCTGCAAACGGCTCTGGGCTGTATTCTCACCGTATTAGCTTCTATTAGTATTGTGGCTTCCATTATTTTGTTGGGTAAGCAGAAGCAAGTGCAGTAGCAGGCAGCCGATGATTACGCACTTTGTGGAAATGTGGGCCCCTCGAAATACCCTGTACCGTGACTAATACCCTGTTTTACTCTCGTTGCAGGCTGGTTATTGATTTGGAAGGCATTTCTATCCAAATTTCGTCTTGTGCGTGAGCTGCTGGGTCAGGAAGAGCCAGAAGAGCAGCAGCAAGTAGTTTGGGAACAGCAACATCAGCACGGAAGAGCACGCAAGGCACGCCGCGATTGAGTCGCCCAGTCCCAGTTCCAGTTCCACTTTCAGTTCCATTTCCAGTCCCAGCACCTTTTACATCTTCAACAACTTCAACATGAACATTCGCTGTGCAAAGCCCGAGGACCTGATGACCATGCAGCACTGTAACCTGCTCTGTCTGCCCGAGAACTATCAGATGAAGTACTACTTCTACCACGGCCTCACCTGGCCACAGCTGAGCTACGTGGCCGAGGACGACAAGGGAGGCATTGTGGGCTATGTTCTGGCCAAAATGGAGGAGCCCGAGCCGAACGAGGAGAGCCGCCACGGCCACATCACTTCGCTGGCCGTCAAGCGCTCCTACCGTCGCCTGGGCCTCGCCCAGAAGCTCATGAACCAGGCCTCCCAGGCCATGGTCGAATGCTTCAACGCCCAGTACGTCTCGCTGCATGTGCGCAAGAGCAACCGAGCCGCGCTCAACCTTTACACCAACTCACTGAAGTTCAAGATCATCGAGGTGGAGCCCAAGTACTATGCGGACGGGGAGGACGCCTATGCCATGCGTCGCGACCTCAGCGAATTTGCGGAGGACGATGACGACAAGCCCAACACCAAGGATGGGGCCAACGACGAGACGACTGGCGTTGACAAAACCCACCTGAAAGCCATCGGCTCTGGAGGCCACAACCATCACGGCGGCCACGATGGTCATTGTGGCTGAAGAACGTGCGGCTGCTGAGTTTCGAAGTTTTTTTTTGCATTTTTGTGCATTAGGTTTTTGTAATAATTGTAGCACACTACACACACATAAAACGTAACTAAAATTTAACAAAGATAATGACAAAGAATCGCGCTTCAGTTTGTTTTTTGGGATCATTCTGAAAAGAGGAAAAAAAGGTCGATGTGTGTGTGGAATTTTTCCCATAAAAACTTCGGGACATGAAAACTTAGGAATGCAGGCTGAAAAGCGACCCGTCCTTTGGTCCTTAGCCGCGTTCATGCAGAAGAAATCGTCCCTTTTTTGAAGTGTTAAGTTTCGCGCCAACTTTTGGGTGCATAAAAACTCTTCCCGGACTGGCCTTCCAACTTTCCAGTGCCATAACGGAAAAGAGCTTTATAAATTTCCCTGCTTTGGAAAGCCAAGTAAATTTCCCTTATCTATAATTTAATAACGCATGCGTGGGTTGGGAGCAGCTGATTCTCAGCCTCTTGTCTCAGCAGCACTAGTTTTCTAGCCACATGTGGCCGCGCAACATTTTGCAGCACCAGCAACATTTCTAGGCGGGCGTTTCGAAACATGTTTCCTTCGGCTGTACTGAAGCTCCACTCTGTCTCTTTTCGGATATTCCAATATCTTCTTAAGGGGGGCCATTATTTTGTATGCAATAACGTTAAAAGCAAAAAAGAATAGAGATAACAGACAACAGAGCTAACAGCTGCATGCATAGCAGAGACACTTAGCATTTTTGTTAACAGCGCAGGCGTGAGCTGCAACAGCTGGCGGCCGCACGTGGAGCCAGGCACAGCTGTGAATGTGAAAATGTTTAGCCCCCAAACTCGAGAACACGATGAAACATGTTTCGGCCGGCTCCACTGCAGCTCCACTCGGAAGCTACGCATTCAATTTCGTGAAGCGAGAGGCGCTACAACAAAACGTATCGTCAGCGGGTGTTTTTTTTTTGCAATCTCTGAAGCTTGGAGCAAACAACGTAAGATGATGCTGTGAAATGTGCGCAAAACAGTAAAAACAATCGACAGATTATTGAAATCAAACTTATAAACAAAAACCAAAACTGTTTAACTGCGAGAGTGTGAGCGCGCGTGCGACACTGGAAGAGCTCGCGCCTTCCTTACCCGCTCTGTGTGCGTGAAAGTGACAGCCTGATAAAAATAAACCGCAATTTGCATGAAACTTACTGTTTATTGCTTTGATTTTTGTGATTTGCGTCGTACAGCCCCTCGCTGCCGGCGCTGCCTTGGCAGGCAGGGTAATGGTAATCAATAAACAAAGGCAAAAACTATAAGTCACCGCCATAACTGTAAGCACACACACTGTGTAAGCCAGCCTAGTACCGTGTTGTTTTTTGGGTGAATGTGCAAACAAAGTGGAAATCCAAAAGCCGGCCAGTAGTACAAAACACACACACACACACACACACACACACAAACACAGAGGCGCAAAAAAAGTAAAAGCCCTTTCCCCGATAAGCCTCCTCTCGCAAGCAGCTGTTATTGTTGCCTATGATGGTCGGAACGGGGTCAAAAGTTCGTGTCTTGGCCTGTTATATCCCCCGCTAATTCAACCACACTCTCATTCAGACACACACTCACACACACACACACACAAAGAGACACAGAGAACACAGAACAGAGAAAGGAGAAGAGAAGTGTTCCTCAAGTGGAGGCAGAGACGCAGCAAAGACAGAGCGTCGCCCCGTCTGGCAGACAAAGCATTAGACAAGTGCCGGTCCAGGCCCAGGCCCAGGCCCAGGCCCACCGAAAGCCGAGACAAACTAGGCCAATACGCGAGAAAGCAGCCTAAACCAGGGGGGGAGCAGAAGTGCAAGCCCAAGAGCAGAGGCGGAGAAAAAGTGCCAGAAGTCTGAAACGAAAGACCAGTGGAAGCCTAAGACTTGCAGAACATAACGGAGCAGAGGAGAGCAGAGCAGAGGAGAGGAGAGGTGGAGCATTGCAATTCTCAACCGAGGAAAGAGCAGTGGAGAAGGGGGAGTACCAGTACCCCCAAAAAAACAGACTGCAACACACACACACACACATCTACAATATATAATAAAGACAAAAGTGAAAAGTTTTCTCTGTCTCGCTCACTCACTCTTTGGCCATTTGTCAATGACTGTGACTGTGTGGAGTGTGGAGTGACTTCTTGCGTGACTTCCATCCGACATCCAAGGCCCGCATCCGTGTCCCGTATCCCGTATCCCGTATCCCGTGTCCTGTGTCTATGGCTGCAGGGGGAAACACGCGGAAGTGGATAAACTGCTGAAACAGAAACAGACTCCCAGGACAAGGACTACTCCAGAACAGGACCACTCGCGCGGTAAGTCAACATTAGAGGAATGATATACACATTGTTGTGATATGACTGTATGCCCCACGCCCCCCCACGCCCCCTCTCCACTTCGGCCAGAAGGGTATTATGATATTGTAAAAATGTTTGGCCACGTAGAGAGTTCACGACCCCCTTTGTACGGATATGTGCTTCTGTGAAAGCAATATCACTACTGCATAACAATAGAAGATCTTCTAGGGTCTTCCTACAGCGAAGGCTTCTCGAAATAATCAAATAATTGTTCATAAATATTCTTGAACAACTTTTCTCTTCTTCAATATGGAAATACACTCACGGGGGTGTCATTGTGTCGTTCCGTCCCCCCCCCACACTCTGTTGGCCCCCCCCTGCTGCGAGGAGGGAGCCCCTGCCGCTCCTTCTGTTTTTGAAGGAACTTCAAAAGGCATCTTCACTATGTAGATGGTGTAATGACATTTTGTCAGCAGGATTATGCCAAATGTTGGCCTCCTCTCATCAGCAGCACCATCACCATCAGCATCGCCATTCATAACCATCGTCCGCGTCATCATCATCCTCATCATCATCATCATCGTGTTCGTCGTCCGCCCAAGGATCATGATTGTCTTTGTCACTGTCAACGCGTCTTGCAACTGTCAGAAGCAGAAGTAGAAGGAGCTGAAGGAGGAGCATCAGCAGCTATGTATGTCCACCCACCGAATTCCTTCTTCTCCTGGCACACTCGCATCATTTTTAAGCAAACATTTGCTGCTGTTGCCTCGCTCTTTCTTGTCTTTGCAGTTGTCTTTACGAGTACGAGTACGAGTACGAGTAGATGTATATCCATCCGGGCACTCGTAAGGCGGAAGGGAATGTTAATATTGTGCAGATGTTTGCAACACTCGGAAGGAAGCGGATTTTGGGATGTTCCCAACGAAAGGAAACCAAACAAAACATCTGCGGTGTGCCCAATGTCCTCAATGATTTATGGCTCCGAGTTGGTGGATTTCTTTATTCAGATATTCCTCTTCTGTTCAGATATTTCTCAAGTGTGTTATTAATTCTTAATTTGTATTCAAGGTAGCGTAGGGTATCTCGAAGTCGGAGTATTCTACTCTGCCGTTCCTCCGTCTTCTTTTTTTTTGTTCCTTTTTTTGTTGCCTCTTGTCAAGTGTTTACTACTTTTTCTCTGCTTTTGTTGCTTCTGTTGATGCTGCGTGTTGGCTCAGAAAATGTCAACAACTTTTTTTTTTTTGTTTTTTTCCCTGGGAATCGGCAAAGAATTGCACGGAGCGGGGGTGTGGGGGGGCGGAGGGGCCGTCGCACATTTGCGCTTGTTTGTTGTTTTCATTCTGATGAAATGTGCAATTTGATTAATTCTCAGCTTCTTTTTCTTTAATTTTTCTGTGTACAATAATTTTGGTGTCACTGCATAAGCGACAGGGACAGGACAGGCGGGACAGGGGAGGGGACAGGGGGGGGGACAGGGCGGCACAGCAGCTGTCAAAAGTGCTCCTTAGCATTGGGCCACGTGGCATTTCCGCTGGCATTTCCGTTTCCCCTTGTGTTTCCGCATCCGCTGGCAAAAGTGATTGATGGCCTCGGAAACGCACTACTAATTAAAGTTATTTAGCGATTCGTCCATCGGCCATTGCAATTTTTCATTCTCACTCGCCTTTGGTCGCTCGGTCGCTTTGGCGATGGTTTTGCAGCTGGTTCTGGTTCTGGCTGTGGCTGTGGCTGTGGCTGTGGCTCTCTGGATCCAAGTGTTTATGGCTTCAATTCAATTAAACAACTGGGTCAGTGTTGTGGTCGCATTGGCTTCCCCATCGGCATCCGGATCCGCAACCAAGAGCTTCAGGAATGGAAGTTTTCAGCAGCGTAATTAATTTTCTGCATAGGCCAGAGCGGAGTAGGAGAGCGCCAGGAGAGCGGAGAGTGGAGATGATAGAGGATAGAGGATGGGATATGCATCATAAGCAAAGGCCAGAGCGAAACGAAACATCATCTCCCATTTCAAATTGCATTTATAATTCATTTTCTTGAAATTAAATATCTCTTAAATGAGACGAGACCAAGTCGCTCTCCAGAAGGAGAGAGAGAGAGAGCAAAGGGCAGAGGGCAAAGAGCAGAGGATGATGCCAGAATGCAAAATACTTTTCTTGAAGGGCTGGAAAAACACAGTCCCTTCCCGCATTGTGTGTATTGTGTTTATTAAATCGAATCTCTCAAAGGACGAATTGAATGGGATTTCTCTCCTTTGATGAAGGCGTTCTCTGACAGATTTATTACATTCCGACTGCACACCGACAGGTAGGATCCTGGTAGGATGTTCAAGGAAATATCGTGGGGCAGTCTCTCCTCCACGTGCCCCACGCGCAACTATTTCAGCAAATTCAAAAGCCTCGCATACTGTTGGCGCTCACTGTTTCCCGCCAGCTTATTTACATTTCCATGAACAAAGCTATCAAGGTGTGGGAATTTATAATCTGCTGCATGCCACACGCGGCGGGAATGCGTGCGGAGTGCGGAGGTCCGGTGTCCGGTGGAGTTTTCAATCGAAAACTGGCTGTTAATTAAAGTCGAATACCGTTCAATGTTCTTTAAGGGCACACGACGCCCTCTTTAAGCCGCACCCGCGCCCCTCTCCCTGCCTGCTTTGCGGGGGACAAATACGCGTAGCATATGCCTCATTAATTTCCATCCAATCACAGTCCCATTTCAATTTATAAGCTCTCTTATCTGTGTATCGGGCAGCAGGCCCCAAACAAAAAACTATCCCCAAATGGCATTTATTTATTTGCCGCTTCCGACATGCTC